TGCCAGCGATAGAAATTGGAGGTGAGTACTCAAAATAATGCATCAAATAGTAAAATAATTCGTGGCTGCTTCGAGGCTTTCTGCGGTTCGACAAAAGTACATCTAGAGCGTCTTCGTCGTTCATTCACGAGGAAATATAAGGACAGGGACACGAAGATAAAAACAGCACAGCAAGACGTTATGTAGCAGCTCAGGGCGTTTACAAAGTCAATTGAGGTTCCCGTTTCGTGTATCGCTTGCTGATTACAACTAAAAGCGGCTACGTTTAAATAGGCCCATTGCTGGCAAAAATGTATAAATGGTTCATCATTTCCAGTCATGCGGAAAGCAATGGAGCTTAAAAACATTCCAGCCGTACTTGCTTTGCCGGATTCCATGCAAGCTACATAAGTCCTCGGACAGTATTCGACGCTTTCTGTCGTTATTTGTGCACCCTATCACCCAGCAATGGTGTCCCGATGACCGGGGGACTGTCGCCATCAAAGACCATGGCTCTAATTAAGTTTGGGAGTTTGAAACGTAGAAGAAAGCGCGAACGAATTTGGGGCACTGCAGACGCCCAACACCGGCCAAGCCTCTCATCCGGGACTTCCACTCTTTCTACACAATCAGAAAGGAGGAAAGCGCCGGTAGCCCTTTCCCCTTTTCTCTCTCGCTCTCAAAATGGCGGTACCCACGATAAAACGGTCCATAGCTAGGGAGAAGGGGAAATTTTAAGTCTTTTTTTTTTCTTCCTTTAAAATGTTACCTAAATTTAAAAAAAAAAAAACAAAAAAAAAAACGGCAACTTTCAGAAGTCTGTTTTTCTTAGGGATGTCGCGAACCGGTCGAGGTTCAAGTTCGACTTTTTCGAACTTCGTGTGAAACGTACGTTCGACAAAGGTGCGACTCAGGTTCGACTGCTATACGCATGCGCGACAGGCTGGCCGGTTGATTTCAAATTGGATGGTGATGGCCACGGTGGATGGCTAAGGGATGCTAAGGCAGCACTGATTGGTTATTTCAGTTATTAGATTGGTTATTTCAGTTTGTTGCAAGTGTCCATAAAAGTAACCCTTTGCATAAAAAAAAAAAATAATCCTGCAAACCTAGACATGTTTGTATCAAGGTCTGGCCACACTGTCCAGAAAGTCGAAACTGTTCGAACCGGTCTAATCTGGTTAAAAATGAAGGTTCGTCGACCGGTTCGAACCAGTCAAACCCGAAAAGTTCGACCTAAAAATCTGGTCGACAGAAGTTCGCGACACAGGGATGTCGCGAACTGGTTGAGGCTCGAGTTCGACCAGGGTTGACTGATCTCAATGACAATAGACTACTTCCATAAAGCCCTGCATGCAACACGGCGCGCGTTGCCCTCTGGGAACTAGTTGGCCAGGGAGGAGGGTGGCATGGTTTCGGTTTCGATCGACACGTCGACAAGAGATTGTTTTCTGGTTCCGAGAGCGTCATTTGTGGTCTCTAAACTAACCTAAATGGTCATACCTCGAAGCTTTAGCACAATCCCGAGACGTATAGCTTGTCTTAACACATGCTTGTTGTATTTTTGTACTTGAGCCTTCCTGTTAGCGTTCCAATCGAGGTATGTGGACGAGCCAGTGCTGGGAGTCTCGACGCTGCGAAGCTCGGGTGCTCGGGGATCTTGCTTGTGTACGAATCAACAAGCTGTAGCAAACAATAAGTATGCATACATCGAGCTCGCGCCTTTACATTAGTGTTGTTGATCAGGAAGTTTGTTTGCTTCGTGCGTCCATAGACGAAATATTACTTTTTGCCCCCACCCGCTTGCATTCCACTAATATTCAACATCGCGTATGCGCATAAAGTTATCCTGCAATCATATAGGCAAATTCGCGCATACAGACCGTTTTAAGAATGCAAAAGTCGAGCACTTGTGTGAAGAATGTCGCACCATTCGCCGGAAGTGCGTCAGCCGGGCATGAACCCCTATGCGCACCGCATTGGGGTTCATGCCCGTCCGGCGCACGGTGCGACATTCTTCACACAAGTGCTCGAACGAATTCAAAGCGCATTTGACGGTTGCTAATGGCCATAATATTTGTTATGTGTTTGCTGTCTTCCTGCCTGAGTATGCCGAGATAATTTCAGACACACCGTTCCCGGCACAGATCTCGGGCTTCTGTAAAAACTCGTCCAAAAAGGCGAGGGATGCTTTTTAGGGCCTCCGTCGTAGCTAGCCGATCTCAGCGTTTGCGAAAAGTTAATCTTCTATCAGCATAAAATTTGAATGGGCGATATATGATGACACGAGGAAGACATCATAGTAACTTTTGTGCAGTAGTGAGGTCGAATTTATTGCGTAAACGCTGGCCTCAACTTTGATACCCTGTGAGGATGCGGCTACTTTTCGTTTAATGAAGTAACAGGAAGGGGACGTTTGGCAAACAAAATGCGTGTAAGGTTCCAGACGAACAAATTTCAGTTGTAGTTCACTGGTACTAGACGGGATTACTGGCATTGAGCTCAAAGATACACTCGTGGGGTGAGGTGACTAAGCCACGACTTACTACGTTCGCATACGCACGCACAATATCCGGTGTTTCGGGAACCAAGGAAAGTGCCCCGGTCTTCGTTTCGCATCGCTCGAGAATGAGTGTATTGTACGTTAGTGAAAAGTCAGATAGTCGAAAACGCAAGCAGCGCGTTCGGTCGCGGCGTGATAGCATGAGATGAAGCTGCTCAGTCGAAACCGAAACTGAGTGGCCAACTAGTTCCCAGAGTGCACTGCGTGGTATTTCGCCGCGGTGGGGCGCGTCGGTTTTGGAAGAAGTCCATTGCTGGATCGCGCTTCCCGCTCCCGCGAGTGAAGCCACCGGACAGCCATCCTGCCCGTAGAGGATTTGCGGTTTCGCTAGCGTTACATAGGCTGGCGGCAGCGTGCTGAAGACACGTTTTCTACTCGTTCGTCGAAGATTAAGACCCTGCGTAAGGTTTGAGACTCGCCGTTGAAAACACATGAATTTTTTTTACAAAAGCGCAGTGCAGTAGGAAAAAGGCACAAGAAATAAACAAAGATTTTGTACTACTGATATGATTGCCATAAACGTCTAATAAACAAAACAAAAAAAAAAAAACGCGCCGCTGGTGTTACTTTTTTTCCCTCCCTTGCCCCCTACTCCCGTCGCCACTGGACGCTGGATCAAGCTCATTTCTGGACCGCAAGTGCCGCAAGTTACAAAAACAGTCAGAGTAAAATTTAAACACTGCCCAGAGGAACACTCTCCTGCTATATGAAAGACCCACTGGGAGCGCGTGCTTTGGGCAATTCCATGTCGCTCGGAGGGGAGGCCTCACTCGGTGCTCAGCTGCACCAGCCGCGCCGAGACATGCTTAACAGATTTTGGTTTCGGTTTGGCGGGAGAGCGCTTTTTACGCGGCACGCCTGGGAGTATTGTAAAAAAGGCTCGAATGAAGTCTCGTTATCACAAGCGCTTTTATCTTATATTTTTTTTTTGTGCAAATCATTAAATCAAGCACCGCGAAAAAACAAAGATTACAGTTATGCTGATGCCCTGTAGAAAGCGCGCTTTCCCGCCAAACCGAAATCAAAATTTAAGCACGTCTCGACGCTGCTCGCCAGCTGGCGCGGCTGAGCACCGAGTGAGGCTTCCCCTCCGAGCGACATGGAATTGCCCAAAGCGCGAGCAGCGCCTCCCTCAGCGACCGCCCCTGCCACGCGCTCCGAGTGGGTCTTTCATATCGCCGGACTGCACACATACGGCTTCACACACATTGCACTCGCAAAACACATCCACATGGCACCGATACGATTCTTGATCGGTATCCAAGCGTGCGAACGCAGAGATGCAGCACCAGTTCAGACACTTGCGTTTGAGGAAGCTTTGATCAGGCAGCGAGACCGGCAAAACTTGCTTTCGACGAGTTATGCTTTTTTTCCGGGGCACTGCACTTTCGTAAAATTTTACACGTGTTCACAACAGCAAGTCTCAAAGGTTACACAGGGTCTTAAAAAAACTTTTTCAGCGAATGACGACGAATTAGTCGAAAACGTGATATTAACACGCTGCCGCCAGCCTCTGCAACGCTAGAAAAACCGCAAATCTTCTACGAGCAAGATGGCCGTCCAGTGGCTTCACCACTGCAAAATTATTCAGCATTGTGACTGCAGACAAATAAAGGCTTACCTCCAAGGGAGCCAGAGCTTAATAAGGAGTCTAACCTACACCAAAATATACTTTAAAAATACTGAGCCCTGGGTCGCTAAACTCGTGAAACTCAAAGATGGGGCCGAAGTTAACGGAGCGCACCGATTGGCCCATCACGACGATGGCTTCGCGCTTCTTTCGCCGACGTCCAATCGGCACGCTCCGCGAACTTTCGGCTCAAACTTTGTGTTTCACGAGTTTAGGGTCCCTGGGCAGAATGTGGCATCATGCGAAAAATCTGCAAGTAAGATCAGTAAATTGTAAGTTATTTTTAAAGGAGCACCAAAGTAAATATTGATACTTTTATGGCACAAACACAATGTATACGGACCCTATGCAGCTCATAAAACCTAAAATTACAATCAACCACATGTGACCTTTTTACCCTTAGAAACGCTACCAAACACCGGGACAAGCCCCCTTTCCGAGATACCTGGGTCCCTAAATTCTGGTTGTCCATGAAATCTAGCAGGAACCTTGAACCTCGGTATCTGGAGCTTTCAAGGAATTTCATTCCACACAACCACACAAGCTAGCCAACAAAAGTCAGAGACACGAAAAGCTGGCTTTCCACTAAATGCACAACAATTTTGCCGATTTCAATCATGTGAAAGTTTGGTGACATACACAGCACAAGCTTGAAAGTTCTGGCTTATTATATCCTTATACTCGCTAATTCGTACCAAGCCCTATACATTTCTTGAAAGACGGGCCCTCTGACCCTCCTCGCCCCGCCCACAACCAAAACACCGAGACCCCTCCCCCAAAAAACGACTGTAGCTTCCCGTCGGTCAAGAAAGCAAGCCACGCATACGGTGAGACTCTTGCAAATTTTTATTTTAGCTTTTCCACTCAAGTTACACTACATGCACAATAGGTTACACTGGTGTGACCCGATACTGGAAAATACGGAATTGTTGTTATAGCTGCTGTCGACCTGGGACCGAAAAGGACAGTCCGGCAAACTAACAAAAATGCAGGCAAGTGTAGAACCGAGAGAAGCACACACTGACAGGGGAGACAAATTTGGACATATGATATGTTCACTGAGACAATGACAGCTGTGACCACATTAATTTCGCATGAATAGCGTCGATGGCCTACGGACACACAATGCTCGCCGGGGCACACCGTGCGCAAGGGCATCTGCACCCCCAGTTCACCCTAGGCTGGGCACATGGCACATGGAAACTCAGGAGGGGCCGCACACAGCTCGGGGCAGCACGGAGGCTTCCCCACATGCAGGAAAACACATGCAGCTGGCACATACAAATGTAGGCACTACATAATAACCTGTACAAAAAACGTTCACTGTCCCAACTAAAAACAGGCCGAAACTCGCGTGTGTGCAACGCAATGTTTTCCTCATGTATATACAGCTTAGAAAACTTTGTGACACCCTCTGCTGTAGTGTGCTCCTACAAACCTAAGCAACAGAGACTACCAGCACTAGAGGTGTGAACGAGCCATGAGCAAGGACAACCGTCGGAGGGGAAAGTCACGACATGCGTGTCACGACACCAGTGCACCCGGGAACCCCCGCTGCGGCCAATAAATGCACGCACAACCAAATGCTCAATTTTGATCAGGACGCGCCTGAACGGGGGCGCCCGCCCGGACTGGAATGTTAACCCGCCAATGGAAACTAAGTATGACAACCGTGAGAAGAAGAAAACAAATGCGAGCGTGTGGCGCGTGGCTAACGTCGGAAGCTGCCCATTGTCTGTGACCAAGCACACACACAAAAAAAAAAAAAGTTTTATCCACAACTACGCACAGCAAGCTCTACGCTCGGTCGCCGGCCCCGGTTAAGTAGCGTTTTACGGGAGCTTGTTCGAGCTGCGACCCGAGTGTCAACTACTCCATTGGTCTTTCGCAATAGACAGAGTGCACTCGGGGCTGTCGGAGGCGGCGCCGACGCTCTGTTCGAAAGAAACTGAGGCAAACGAAATTTTCATTCCGCGGGTGGGAACAAACGGTTTGCCGTGGTACCGGGACCCAAAGCTCAGGCTGGCTGCGCCCCACGCCGCTCGTGTCCCCAACAACCATGGTCCTTGACCGGGTGCAGAAGGGAGGCCGTGCCTACTCCTAAGACGCGAGGCAAACCAACTGGCTCCCGGAACAACGCGGGACGAGCTAATCCCGCAGCCCGCAGCAGGCACAATACGTCCGTCCGCCCCCTTTTCCCCCTCCCCTGGGGGCGTGGCCGCTCAGTTGGTGTTGGCCTCGAAGTACTTGTAGGTGGGGTTCTCATATCCATTGACCTGCATGCTTGCCAGGTGGCGCTCCTCGGGGCTTGCGGGGAGGGCCCCCTGGTCGACCTGAACGAAGCCCTGCGCCTGGGGGGAGCGCTGCGCCTGGCGGCGGAGCAGCACCGCTCCGACGAGCAGCGCTGTCAGGAGCGCCACTCCGGCAAAGGCCAGCGTGATGTAGACGCTCCCGTTCCACTTGAACTTCTGCAAGCCCTCCTTGCGCATCGTGTTATAGCTCTGCGGGAGAAAAGTTGGTGATGTTTACCTGGCGACCACTGACGGCGGAAGCGCATCCATCCGCTAAGCGGGCATGTACATGCAAGCCAGTACTTCGTTCCCTTTCCATGAAGGTTACAAGATACATACAATATCTACCTTAGGGTAGGTATTGTATAAGTACCATATTTTTCGGAATACAAGTCTCACCCTTGTATGAGTTGCACTTCCTTATATTGAGCAGTTTTCGCGGAAAAGTTGCTATATAAGTTGCACCTCCTTGCGCGGTTCATGCAGTGAGTTCTTTTTGTTTTACGCGCGTTGGTATCACAAAATCTAAGTTTTGCCCAATCGGCTAGATTGCACTTACCGTATGACGTGCAACTTTGACGTTGTGAGTGCGGGGTGCCAGAAATGCCAATATTTATCTTTTTTTTTTTTACACAACTAGGATACGCAGGCAAAATCGGTTTTCTGTTCTTTACTTCAGAAGTGTCAGAGGGCAACTTCCACAAATGTTTGACCGAAGTCTGGAAACCATTGCACCCCCCCCCCCCCCCCCCCCCGCCCTTTAATTTTTGCTAGATTTCTAATTCTCCAAAATTTGAAGTTTCATTTTTGCAGTGTTCCCAAGTTTTCAAAATTCAAGACAACAATAAATAATGACGGACAATACATAGCTCGCCAGTATCAAAAGATGTTTCTTCAGTGGCATTTGGCATTGCTGCCCTTGCAATTGATAACACCAACTGTCCTACAACAAACCTTACAAACAAGTGTTGCTTCAATAACCGTCGGTACGTTCAAATAGCCAAACTTCTGGACGTACTCACAGGGAAGCATAGAAGCTTCAGCCACCCTCCCCCTTCTATCAAATCTACAGGGGCATATCTTTCATTGCTATAAAAACACAACCCCTCCTCTATCTAAGCACAAACCGAATGCTTCAAACTGGAAACCGGAATCGCAGCTTTCATCGCGGCCCAGAAGTACAGAGCGCGACACTGTTAGCGCGAACAAGCGATCGCCGGTTTTTCGAGTGTTTCTCTTTGAAACCAAAGGATGTCATCCAAGTTATTATTGGTATGGAAAGAGCTCATTAACTTCTATAATGTAAGCGATAACATTTCGTGCTCGCTAATACTATTTAGGAATAAAATGCGAAAATGCGCCGACGTCGTGTTCGCGCTAACAGTGTCGCGATGTGTACATCACCCTATTGTACTGTACAAACTTTGACGAGATAAACAGAGAGCTCCTTCTTGTCAATTGCCATAGATTGCAAAAAAAAAGAAAAAAGAAACAAATGTGTTTTCATTTTTTTTTTTGGGGGGGGGGGGGGGAGGAGAGGAGGGAGAGGCCTTGGCCCCCTAGAGGTCAGTAAAACTGTCCACCTTCTTGACATATTTCCCCTGAAGCCGAATGCACTCGCATCGCCAGCGTGGCAGCCTTTCCATGCCCTGCCGGAACCAAACTTTGGTAGCGTGTAACACCCCCGCCTGTTCAAGTGTGTGGGAGCAACACACTACTGACATTGGTGACTGCAAAATGGTCTCGCCTCGCAGGGTGTTTTTGTGTATTGGCACGGAACAAGCGATAGTGACTGGGAGCCGGGCTGGGCTCTACGCATGCACAGCCAAATGTCTGACCGCATGTACGACGCGTCAGGAAGGTGGGGGTACCTGACCTAGTGCCAGCCAATCATGGCTTCACATAAGCGCGTGCAATATCATGATCGGCTGACACCTGGTTGGAATCAGCTGTCAGATGTTTGGGCAGATGTACGGCCTCAACCTGCCCCTGAGCGATTACCATAAAATACCGGCCAAGCACTCACTCAAAATTTGGAGATAATCATGAAAAATTGGGGGATGGGCGCTTGCTTGTCTGGTCATCTATTTTACATATAAATGTGTTGCCCATACAGTAGAACCTCGCTGATATGTTTGTCAGGGGACTGTAGAAAAAAAAAAGTATGATTCGAGAAAACGCAACAACCGTTAACGCACTTAGGGGGGCTCTACATGAGATAGAAAGCAGCTCTTATACAATGGCTTATTTTATGTGTACTTGCAGAACTGTTGAGGACTCTGACATGTTCACAAAAGCACGTAATATCCGCCTGCCACTTCGAATTGAGGCTCATTCACACTGCCCCATTTTCTTACGATAAATTACGCTGCGTATAAGTCACTGAAACATTTGTGTCTTAAATGTCGCGTGTCATGCTTTCTCCTTGAACTGGTAGCCTCGGTGACTTCAACGTAATATTTCGTAACATAACTTACCGTAAGAAGATGGGGCAGTGTAAATGAGCCTTCAACGTTTAGCTATAAAAGCCGTTTTTCCAGGAGCCGCCAGTCCTCTCTCACCCTCCGCGCGATCGTGAACATTTAGGTAGCGGCGCAAGGTGTCCAACGCAACGATCACGTCCGCAGACTTGGGTGCAGCGTAATCGTTTGTTTCTTGCTCGACATCTTCATCACTTTCTTCTCTTTAAAACTTTTAACTTCTCTTTAAAAGAAAGTGCCTTCCTTTTTCGCAACGCCATGACCGTTGTCAATGGGCGCGAAGCGGCGCACATACTCCGAAACACCACGGTTCACGCAATGGAGCGGAACAGAAACTAGAAGCGCAGCGTGCATGCGGGTGCACCCCGTGCCCGAGAAAGAGAAGGACAGATGAAAGAGAGACCGAGCATTTACCGCCTCGCCATGCCTCGCTCCCCATCTGAGCAGTGCTCCAAGGTCACACCCGGCCAAGATAGGTGGCTTCGCTCAGCAAAGCCCAGCGAGGAGACAGAGAGACGGGAAAGAGGGGGAAATAGTAAAGTGCCCACGCATGCCGTGCGACCCGCATTGCATGGTTCGGCCTTGCTCCGCTAGCTTTGCTTCAAAGCCAGCGTGGCAGCCCGCCGCCCAGCGCGCCGAGACGCCGCAATGTTGACACTTTTGGACGTAACAGGCAGGAAACTAATACGTGTATCTCTATGGAAGTAAAACAAAACCGGCATTTTTGAACATTACAGCCGGGAAAATGTATCAACCAAGAACATATCAACGAGGTTCTACTGTATTTTCTCAGATCTTACAAATTTGGGAGTGGCCACTTAGTGTGGAATGGGTGGATGCGTGGTATTCTACCATATAACCTCTTCAATACCGTTTAAATAAAGAAAGAAAAACACCTGCAAGTCATTATTTTGCAATCACTGATGAGCTGGAAGCAGTTGTCCAGGCATGGGTGTGGCACACCACCAAAAAGTGGTTCTGGCAGGGGCACGGAAGCTGCCGCCAATTCTGCGAGTGCATTCGGCTAAAGAAGGAGTATACTGTAAAAATGTTGTCGTTCGTGAGCCCCCCATTTTCGGGAATTTTGCAAACTGGAAAGATTTAATAAGGGTAAGCAAATGTTTTTGTCGTATACACCAACATATTCTTTCCAAGCAAGCTCGCGTTTGCCTGCATCGTGCAGACACTTCGCGTAAGGTGAAAAAGCGAAGCGCCTGCACATGAGCCACGCCGACCGCAGCACCACTGGAGCAGTGAGACGTCGAAGCCACGATTTGTGGTAGTTACCATACGACCCTTTGCCCAATTCGCAAAAAGAAAAAGAGAAAATAAAGGGTTTTACGGCATGCCGGGATGGTGAACTCATTTACAGACCTCCAAGCAGCCAGGAGCTGCGGCAAAATAATAGGTGTAAATCAATATGGTACACCCCTCATACTTCTTGCTGCAACTGGCTAAGAACTCCTAGTGTCTTGACTGTCGCGCGGAAGTAACAAATTAAACCCCTTTACGACGTTTACTCAAAAATGGGCCCATGTTTTTTATGAGCAAAGCCCACACACACATTTTCGTGCGATGCCCATGGACAGCCAGCGGTTATGACTTAAGGGAACCCAGCAAATAGAGACATGAATAACGTAGGGACTCAAACGTGGGATCCGGGCCAAGATCCTGAGCATGAGAGCCTCAAGTGTGGCGTCCCAGCAAAGTCAGCCTCCTAATCTTTGTCTTGTTACTTGCTAGGCTAATTTCGTAAGATCCTAAGATAGGCCTCTGCAGGCTCTGCTTCTAGAAAAGTCAAACCAATAATTGACTGACTATAGTGCCCTTAGCCAGCAGAACCTTGTTTTAAAAAACGCAGATAACAGAAACAATTTTTGTTTTTTTATGCGAAAGCATTACCACAAAAATTCAAGAAGAACGCCCACCCAAAATGAAAAGATAAATGGTGAAAAACAAGGGGTGGGCCATCTTTGGAAATGACACAACAAAACTTCATCAAAAACTAATGATAAATACCTGGGCACCCCATTACAAAGCACGAGACGCGGGAGCTGAAACTTTGGATCCTGGACACCGCAAATTTGCGTTTCAGTATGCGATAAACACACGGGAATTCGCAACGAACTGCTGTGTCACGGGAAAGAATACTGGAGGTTGCGGACGCAGCAAATTCGCGTTTTACCGCGCGAATAACCCGCTGAAACCCGCAGAGAACTCGCATCTCACGAGATCGAATACCGCAAAAGGCAGACGCAGCAGATTCAAGATTTATGGTGCAATAAACATGCGAGAACCCACTACAAACTTGTCTGTTGCAGGAACCGATATCGCGCACGCAGATCGCAGACAGAAATGCGAAATCCGCTACTAACTCGTATGTCACGGGAACGAATACCGCAGATCGCGGATGCAGCAGATTCGCATTTCACGATGCAATATACACGCGGGAACAACTCTCGTGTTACGGGAGTTGATATCGCACGCGCAAGTCGCAGACAAAAACACGGAAACCCGCTATGAACTAGCTTATCAGACGTATTGGTACAGCAGATCGTGCGGCAAATGGGATTCCCGTCGGACATTGCGTGACGTCAAGGGTGGGCGATGTTTCGGAATTTTTATGTAACAGATATTTAGCCAGAAAAACGGGATGGGCGATCTCTTGGGGCTGGGCATTCTCTCAGAACTTTATGGTAATTGTTTTGTTGAGCGAAGCCGATGAAAGCAACAACTAAATTACCATTGGCTGGGCATTGTCTGTAGCAGCGAAACGGCACCTAAATTCCCATTGGTTGCAAAAATTTTCTAAGGGAGGTTCCTGTAAACAAAGTAAATTAATGGCTTTGAAAATAAATTTTCATACATTTCGGTCTGGGTGGGAATTGAACCCGGGCCCTCCGGGGTGCAAGACGAGCATGCTTCCCCGATGCCACGTGAAGCCGCGGTGGATTCACGATTCCGGTCAAATAAACCTGTGCCTAGTGCGTGCGTCATGCCTTTCGCATTCTCACACATAAAAAATCTTAAATGTCTGCCAAATTTTTTTATTTTTTTTTTATATTGTCTTACTATAGTGACATTACACGTGACCCATGAGTGGAAGTGGGAGACTCACTCCTTCACTGTGGTGCAGCAGTTGTCCCTGAGCATGGGCCACCCTGGGGGTAGGGTGCACGAGGAGCTGTGCCCCCTGCTGGGGCAAGGGGCTGCTACTGCTGCTGCTGCTGCTGCTGCTCGGGCTGCTGGGACTGTCCCCACTGGGCTGCAGGCTCTCGTCTTCCACCGACTCGGAGTCCCCGGGACCTTCCTCCGGCTGCGGTTGTGGCTGAGGCTGTGGCTGACGATGTTCTGCGTGCAAGGCAAGACCGTAAGCAGACCGGGTCGTGCCTTCTTCGTGCTTTTAAGACTCACTTTTTACTTCGTAAACAAAGGCAAACAGACGGTTAGCCGTGGCTTCGCAAAAGGGCATTATTTGTACCTTCATACGCGTGCCTTCAGACTCTCATGTGCCTCGAATAAAAACAGCACGCAAAAAACAAAGGACGAGTAAAAAAAATTGGACAGACCAAGTGCTGACTTACGAATTACGAAGTAAGAAGGCATAAACCTGCATAATCATAAATATGCCACTAAATTGCTGTTATCACCCAATTGCTTCATTCTGTACAAGATACCATATCTTTGCTTGTAAGGGCCACACCCCCCCATATTAAACCAAAATATATTAAAAAAAATAAAAAAATTATGTCTGTATTAGTGTATTAGTATTAGTACAATGAGTGCAGCGCGACGACAATAAAAGGCTCACCAGTGTTGCACCGATTTTGACTTGCCATGGCTTGCATGCTGAAGTGGCTAAAGCTTATCGCAGCAAATGCTAGCCGCTGCAGCACTGCTTCATGCGATTTGCGCTAACTTCGTGTTTCGCAGCGTGACGCGCATCATTGGCGAGCGTTGGATTACATATAGAATTGCTAACTGGACAGTCTGGAACAAATCCGGGACATATAGCTGTCCTGAAAGAGACAATGCGGGACTTGGGACGCTTCATGAAAAGTCGGGCCAGTCTTGCAAAATTCAGGACGGTTGGTAACCCTAAATGCGCCGCGCAGACCGCCCTGGTATGCTGGTGACTGCTGCGCCACTGGGTGAGGCAGCGGCGGGAGTGCAAAGCTCGGCGCAGCGCCAAAAGTGCGAAGCTCGGCGCAGCGCGTGCTGAAATCCCTTTTCTGATCATCATTATCGCCCTAGCTACGGGTACCTAGACTAGGGTGACCACCCGTCCCGCGACTCGCGGGACTGACCCGCATTGAGAGCGCGTGTCCCGCGTCCCGCAAGAAATTCCAAAATCTTGAAAATGTCCCGCATTTCACATTGTCGTAGCATTCACTACGCAAATTATGGCGCTTCCGAAGAACGGGCCACGGGGTAGCGCGGAGATCGCTGATAAACATGTGAATATCAATGGTATGCCATTTCCTATACAAGCACTGCAGGAAGCGACCGTCGTTCTTGCAGGAAAAAGACGCACATGTGCCGTTGTGCCTCTCCCCTTGATGGCAAGATATTGCGAGCGAAAATTGCTCGCCAAAAGTTGAAAGATAAACTATTGTAATTCTTTGCAAATCATACTGTGTCATGCGAAAGGGTTGTTGTGGAAAGCTTTTTTTTTTTTTTTTAGTCTCACAAGAGTCGAAAAAACAGCAACATAAGGTTCTAATTTTGTGTAAGAGCATGTTAATATAAGTGTAAGTATCGACAGAAAACAATAAGCCGAAAAAAATTTACGATTTCTTATTTCCCTTTCATGCATTCTGGTTGGCTGCAGTCATTTTTTATGGTTTCAACTTAGACACCCATAATAAAATATTTACCAATATAATTACACAAAAATATATCACTGTGAATGAAAATTATTTTAGCTTAATTGCCGCCAAACAATTTTCAGGTGTATAATATGCTTTCGGAGAGCAGAGAATATCGGGGTGCGCTTGATGGTGATTTTTTTAAAATATTTTTTGCTTGAGTTATGAAAATACCTCCCTCCCTCCCTCCCTCCCTCCCTCCATCCTCCCCCTCCCTTCCCCTTCCCCCCCCCCCCCCCGTTCAGGGTGTCCCGCATTTCGCCTGCCGGAAGGTGGTCACCCTAACCTAGACACTAAACCTCAAAACGTAACGTTAGGCCTAACGTCAGGCCAGCGCATACCCGCATCTCCCTCTCACGTCAAACAGCTGCGCGTACCAATCGTCGACGTTAGACCTCCAAGTGTAACGATAGGCCTAAAGTTAGGCCTAATGTCAGGCCAGCGCATACCCGCGTCCCCCCCTCCGCAGCGCCACCAGGCTGGCTCCTTAGCAACAATGGCGCCTTTGCTATGAAGCCACATGACGCGTCGCAGCCAATTAGACTTTAGGTGTCGTTTTTCGCTGCTACAGACAACGCTGGCTTCATTCCATGGGACGGTTAATGCTTTCACATTAAAAAGTGCAGCCCTTACAGTCGTTTATACAGTTTGCACTCTTTTTCATATAAAACAATCGACGGTGCACGGACACACATGCTTTCATCGTACTGTGTCATAAGGAAAGACGGTTACAGATTACGCAAGTTTATGTTTTCTTCACAGAAAAACCTGTTTAAGTCAGCGCTTGGTCTGTCTAAATTCTTTGACTTGTCCTTCATTTTTATTGAGCTGTTTTTACTCTAGATGCATCACCAACTAACCCAAGTGTGTACTATCCTCCCAAACCTTTTTCCCTACACATCTCGGCAATTACAAGTTTCATGCAATTTTCTCCGCTTCACATCTCTGGCGCCGAATGCCGCCGCCCCAATTCGAGGCTTACATTAACTTAAGAGACCCAAACTCCCTTGTATCACGCATTACATGGTTTCAATGCCTTTTCATAACTTTGCAAAAAGAAAAAAAAAACAACTTCTCTCAAGAACATTTGGCAGAGTTTCCACCCCCACAAAAAAAATATGCCCCTCGTTTCCCCCACCTGGTGCCGGCTGCGGGGGTGTGTGCCTGTGCAGGTCAGCCTGCCGCAGGAGCTGCTCGTTGTCCGAGGGCCTGCCCCTCAGGCTGTGCCAGAGGGCCGCCATGCGGGGCCGCACCTTGTCGGCCACCGATGGGGCCCGGTCCAGAAGAGCCAGGCTCTGGTTGGCCACCCGGTCCACGTTGGCCAGGTGCTGCAGGAGGGCGCTGCGCTGCGAAGGGCTGCCCCCGCCCCCTCCGTGGCGGTAGTGGTGCACGGCGTGTGTGCGGTCCTTCTCCAGGGCGCGCAGCAGCTTCTCCAGGCACTTCTCAATCTTCTTGGTCTGCAATGCACAGCCAACATTTGCAAGATGAGAGATCTGGTGTCTAAAGTGAGAAGTCTCAAGCTCCTCAATCTTGCAGAGCGTCTGCCCCACTTTTGACCTTTCAATGTCAAAGGAGGCCGTGGAGTCCCATGACTGGAACCCACTGCCTTTTGCTGACGGGTCAAGTACTCTAACCCCTGAGCTACAAGGGGCTGCTCTTTGGAAGTCTCCAGAAGGCTCTTAATTGCAATGCAACGGAGGGCAATCTATAATGGTCATCGTGGTAAGCGGCCCAAAACTGAAAGCACATAAACTGCTTGAGTCAAACTTCTGTGTATTTACATAAGAAGGAGATTACTTTCATGGACACGTGTTGATGCGAGTGTGTTTTTTGTGGGTGTTTTCTTCGTTGGGTCCTTTTCAATAAATATTCAGTTGTCAGTTCAGCGCTCGTCCTGTGTACTCCTTTTCCTCCCGTCCTTGTCGTTTGCGCGCTGTTTCCATTATTTCTAAGCATGAACCAACTCGCCCACATCGCTACTCTGATAAACTGTGCAGAAGTGGATGCGAGCACCCGCTTTGGTCTGTTACAAAAAAATATTCATGCGTTTAAGTGCTTTCATATTGGTAACTACCGTAGAATGCCGCGCATCCTCCCATTCCACACTAAGCGCCCATTCCCAAATTTGTAAGATCTGAGAAATTATGCACAGTATATTTATATGGAAAAGAGATGACCGGACAAGAGCCCATCCCCCATTTTTTTGCGATTATCTCTAAAGTTTGAGTGGGCGCTTACCCAGAATTTCACGGTAGGGCTTTTATTCATGCGAGTCGAGAAACCTCCTGGAATACTATATCAAGGGGAATCTCCTGAATTTTTAACGAGGCTCTTGAAAGTGCACAATGCAGTATACATGTGCGAATTATGGATTTTCAGTTCGAAGCGAATCCAAAGCGAATAGTGGTTTTGGCCGAATATTTTTGAATCAAGTATAGAACAGTTCCTTTAAGCCTTTCACTAGTGCCACATGCTTAACTGAAAACCCAGCTGAACTTTGTGAAAGTTGTTGCGAGGCTCCCACTTGTCCATTTCTAAGGTAAGTTAATTTTAATTTTAAATCATATTTATTGACTGTGGCCTCCAAAAGTACAATGACTACATTGAGATGGCAAGTAAACGATGCATTTGGCATAAAATTAAATTTATAGAGATGTCCAGCTATACCTAATCAAGGGTAATTATAAATATTCTCGCCATATTCAAATATCTTCAATCACAAACAATTGGCACAGGTTTTTGGGGCATCTCTGCATGCCAGATTAATTTAGAGACTTTTACTACAATCTAGATATCAACATTTGTTTCTGTTTCTTTTTAAATACATCAGGCATGCATGTGCACCATACCCTTTAGCAATGAGCTTTCCTCCTGAACATACGGCTACATTTGTACTTTTCGAAGAGTTGATCTCGGCGGGTTAGCCCTGTTCAGAGAGCTTCTTACCAACACCAGTGTACTGCGGAGAAGCCACACCCACGAAAGCGAGCACTGCAGATGTTGCTTTCCTGCAGTGCACCGACGCTCGGTAAGAAGCGCACTCAACAAGGCTAACCTGCCGCAACCAAATATGAACATTGCACATAATTTTTGAACCCATCAAAAATTTTAATATTTGCACAACCCTAGAGATTGATTAGTGTAATCATTAAAATGGAAAGTGCCAAAAGCTCCCAGAAACAAGAACCCACAACCTTTGTTCTTCAATATCTATTCCTCGCACTTTGATCTATTTCCACTTACAAATGTTGTTCATGTAAAAGGACTGTGGCTGGTAAAGGCCAGAAAGCACCGTTATTTATTTATTTAGCAATACCGCTCATCTCACAAGGATATTCTCGTAGGCGAGGAAAAACACAAAAACATTGCAATACACAAGGAAAGATTACATGAGCAGATAGATCAAGTATACATATGAAATAAAAAACAAATAAACACTGAACAAATCCTATGAGACACGCAGCAAACATTTCGACAAATTCCTGGTCGACTGTCTCTCCAGGAATAGTGTCTAAAAATATTGCTAATAAATTTTATAATATAATTTTATAAACTGTGTCATTTAACAGTATCAAGTGTTGTTTATTTTTTTATTGCTTAAAATAACTCTACTGTTTTAGAGTTTTAGGTGAAATTTCCTAGCAGTCAAGGAACACTTCTAGTATTCTGAGTGTTTATTACCATTTCTTTTTTACTGCTCACTTCTATCATTGTGGGAGTGATGGTAGTGTTAAACAATAAATAACAAATGTGAAGTGCCCTGGGGTCGTTAACCCCTTAAGTGCCAAATTTGTTTTTCAAAAAGCAACCTAAAAGTGCCATATATTTTTGTTTTTTTTTGTTTTACAATGTTATTCCTCTAGTATTACACATAAAATTTGAAGTTTATTGCGCAAAAATCAGCGGAGGCAAAAAAAATATATGCCAACTAAAACGAGTGCTGCCATCTATGATCGGCGCCGCAAAACTACTCTGACGAGCCTACCTCGTCCGTGGAATTGGGGGCTACCGAAAAAACCACTGGACGAGCTGATCCCATCCACGGCATTTTTAGCCAGAAAGCGGCCGACGAGCTCAGCTTGTCCAAGGCACTTAAGGGGTTAAACTCTAGCCACCATACATGCTATCATGCTTGACTCACCATTTGTTTATGTGTTCATTTGAAAATTCCAAACCGAAGTGATGACGTAATGCACTCTTTGTTATCAGGTAACTTCTGCATAGAGCAGCTATTATATTTTTATAGGCATGCCTAGCCATGACAACATTTGTTTATAGCCATATTTTCCAGTTCTGCTACCGTTGTCATAGTTTCATTCCACTGTAAAATATACAGGCCCCCTATGTGGTGGCTGTCCCTACCTTGGGGGGCACCTGGTAGAGTGCAGCAGTGTAGCAGTCCATGGCCGACTTCTTGCGCATGTTGATGATGGTCAACACCCGCTGCTGATGCATGGCTGCCAGCTGACGCTTCTCCGCTGCTCCCTCTTCCTCCAGGGCCTCCACAGTCTTCTGGAAACGCTGCAACCGAAACAAGCATGCGCTCCGTTTATGTGGACGTTAAAGACATGGGCCCCACATGCTCTGTGCGCAAACTAATCCTACAGTCAGGGGCGCACTTAAAGGGAGGGGGAGAAACTGCCCCCCACCCCCCTCTAAACCCCCAAGGGCAACTCTCTTTTTATGGATCAAACAACATGCACTAGCTTTTCTTTTTTTAGAAAGAAATGTTTTTTTTTGTTTTTTGTTGTGAAATGGCAAGTATTAGGTGAAGAAAATAGATCTAAGGAATGCTTCACCCATGAGGTCACATCTGTCCATGAGATCGGATCTCTCTCCACTCCAAAGCCAAATGTTTCCCTCCCCCCCCCTTCACCCTCCCCACCACCACCGCCCCCAAAAGACCAACCCGTAAATCTGCCCCTGCCTACAGATAGGTGCTGCAGAAGAGCACCTGGGACTCACCGCACTCATCTTCTTGCGGAAGTCCTCTGCTCCCTTGGGGTCCTTGTGCTTCATTGTCTGGTAGTGCTCTTCCAGTTCACTCCACTCCTTCATTACCTGCAAAAGAGGTACACAGTGTGTACAGCTTGCTCAACCATCTAAAGCTACAACATTCCTTACAAGCATAGCCGGCAGCTTTTTCATAAAGAAATGCAGAGAGAGCATAACCTGCCTGTAGTAGCGTGCATAGAAAAGTATACCAAAATAGATTCAAAGCATACAGATACTAGTAATTTCCAGGTACTCTTTGGAACAGAGTTTCCCAAAATCACTAAATTAAAGTCCCGAAGTGACATTTCACCACCAGAAATTTCGCCCAGTTTGGGACGATTATTTGTGTACTAGATAATGATAGAGGAAAATGTTGTAACCAAGTCTTCTACTATGTTGTGCTCTGCTCTTTCAACAATAGTCAGACTAAATTTCTTCTCAACCAAGCTGTTTCCTACAGGACCAAAATTATGTAGTGTAGCAAAAATATTTTGGAACAACTGAGGCTGTCGCTGGCACCCCATACTTTATGTTTGTAGAAAAGGTTCTGACTAGACGCAGAACAAGAGTAAAAAGATGTCAATAAAGGCAACCAAGAAACTATTTCAAGCTTACATATGCTCCTCAGGTGCAACTGAATTACTTGAAAACAATTTCTTCAAGGGCAACTGCGATCAATAGTTTCAAATTTTGGATTACAACTGTTTGCAACTCAGTCAGTGTCCCTGAATTATTAGGTACAGTCAAAACCGCTTATATCGAACACCGCAGAGATCGCAAAACAGTCCGATATGGCCAAAATTCTATGTATAAAATGAGGTCGGAAACACAAGCGCCACATGGTCGGCACAGTAACGAGCTTACCTGTAACTTTCATCACCGCAGGCTTTCTTAATTGATTAGGACAATTACTTGAGACCATTATGTCGATTTATTGCACTAAAAAGTACTGCGCCAACGTTGTCCGCTTTTTAGAGTCTATAGCATGCTTTGTCACGGCCTTCTTCACGGTGTCGAGACCATCCACAAGTGCAAGTCCACTTCCTTCTATTGGACTGCAATAGCGGCGCAGCAAAGCTACGACAGACACTGCTTCGCTTGAGGTGGGGCGTAGTGCAGAGTCTTTGACGTTTGCAGGACCAGGCTCATCGCTCCCAACTGGCCGCTCGCCGGCAATTTCGGCGGCAATTTTAATATCCGTCAGCTCCGCAGTAGTCTTGTCATCATCGTCACCACTGAAGTCCTCTATGCTCATTGTCTCAGGCACAGCACCCACAAAACAGAAGAACCTGTTCCACGTTTTGTCGAGCTCGTGATGGTCTTGTTCGAACCTGTCAGGAAGTTCTTCACTCAGTCCTGCCACCTGCTCAGAAAACTCCTCGGCGCAGGGAACAAATTTAGTGTGCCGAAAGCAATTGGTTATTGAGTTGCGCTTGACGTTCTCCCAGGAGGCCTTGAGCATTTCGACTGCTCCCAAGAGGTCTATTTTGAGCTCCTGATTCATGCGAAGCTTGACGAGCAAAGACTCTATGAGTCTCCTCTTGGAAATGGCCTTAAAGGATTGAATTACGCCCTGATCTGAGGGTTGGAGCGGGGAGGTCGTGTTAGGCGGCACGAACTTGAGTTTGATGTTTTTCAGCAGTATGTATGTATGGTGCGCCGCACGGTTGTCAACAAGTAGACACACTCTGCGAGCCTTGCCCGCGAGCTCGTTGCTCCGGTCTGTTAGCCACTTGCCAAATAGGTCCCGAGTGATCCACAACTTCGTGTTCCACGCATACCAAACGGGAACATTGCGGCAATTCTTCATATGGTGTAGCGTTTTGAACTTTCCGATGACAAAAGGTTGTGGCGAGCCATCCATGTTGGCGGCCATGAGTACCGTAATTTGGACTTTATTTTGTTCCCTGCCATGACACTTGTCACTGTGCTTGCTGAGGGTCTGCCGGGGAAGCTTTTGCCAAAAGAGCCCAGTCTTGTCGGCGTTAAAGATGTCCCTCGGCTCATATTTTGTCAGGATCTGAGGCCACTCATCCTAAAGCCACTTCCAGATGCTCTCAATGTTGGCCGCTTCGCTCTCCCCCGAGATAGCCTTCCCAACGATGTTGTGGCGGCCCTTGAAGCGTTGTAGCCATCTGCTGCTCGCTGTGAAGCCCTGGACCCGAGAATGAAAGCAAACTCTCTTGCTTTCTCTTGCAATATCGGTCCTGATACAAGGATGCTCCGGGCTCCGACGTCCATAAACCACTAGTATGTCGCTTCCTTGACTTCTTGAAAGTCCGGCTCTCGAACATGTGCGTCCGAATACTTGCCTGTTGCTTTCCCTTTAATATCACTCGTTTTTGAACAAAGCAGTCAAAGCACTTCGAGGAATATTGTAGGCATCGGCCACACTTGGCTTCTTACCCTTCTGAACATGCTTAATTATCTCTAGCTTGATTGCAAATGTCAGCGTCGTCCTTTACTTCACTCTCACAGCCATGGCTTAGGCCGACTTACGGTGGATGCAGAAACGTATGTCACAGGCGGCAACGGTGGGAACAAAACCCGAACAACGGCAATCTCCGAATCTGCGAATCTGCTCCGAATGCGTGCTGCAACCCAAGGAAGTTGGTGCATCGTGCGACCACACGGCTCTGAACCACGACCGCTGCTATGCTCTTCGTGGTGCTCAAGGTGCCTTCTGCTTGTGCAAGCGTCGCAAGCACCTGCCGCGCGCCGCTACCCGTTGGTGCACTACGGGGAAGCCTGCCGCGTGGCTCAGGAGCGCGCGCGCTCAGATGCTGAGGAGTTCGCTATATCCAGTGGGGGTCCGATCGCGCTTGATATATAAAGTAAAAAATGCGTGTATTTTCAAGGAAGTTCGGAATGGGTTCGACATAAGCCATAATTCAATGAGTCCGTGTTCGATATATTCAAGTTTGACTGTATATTTCTTTCTTGATATTGCGTTATAGTTTGTAAATATCATTGCTCAAAGTTTGGTTTTGGGCATCTGCGGCAAAACTGGAGCTCTCTGCTAGAAAGCGATGGCAAGACTCATCATCAGCTGTTTGGCGACGATGGCGTCATGTTGGTGCTGCGGTAAGTGGCACGAGATGCACCTGACATAGCCAAACAATCAATTTCAAGAAACGAGTTAGGCTATTTCTTTTTTTAGTTCTTTGTGTCGTACATAAGCAGTGTATGTAGGAAAGACTAGCGCATATTCATAAAGCTAGCGACTGAAAGCGAATTGTATGTGCTGCTTACTTAAAGCAAAGAGTGCGTTCAGTGCCGGCCACTGGGTGACGGCACAAGGAGTGCAGCTTGGCTGCATCGCTATATTCCCATTTCTTGCCCACAGAAATAAAAATCCATGGTATACATTCCGTACAGTACCGCGTATCCGCCCATTCCTCATTAAACCCCATTACCAAATTTGTAAAATCTGAGAAAATATGCACAGTACATTTACATGTAAAATTGATGACCGAACAAGCGCCCATCCCCCATTTTTTTGCGATTATCTCCAAAGTTTGAGAGGGCCCTTGCCCGGTATATTACAGTTAGAGAAGGAGCTTAATACTGTAGCATTGTACGATTGAGTGACGCGAGTTTCACACGCTGTATGGCTCTTTGCAGGTGGGTGTTCCCAAACTTGAGTACTAGTCACACGAGTTTGCATAGTGGGGTAGTTAGCTATATAGCTAGGTTGATTTAAGCGCAAAGAACCTAGACGGATGCTGTTGCATGTCACGTGGTATTAGGCATCCACCGCACAGGAGACGCTACTCTTCGGGGCCATAGCTAGCATTTGGCGCATTCATGTGTTGGAACAGTGCGAAACAGTACAGCTCGATTACTTCGCTTATGCACAGTACAGCTCAATTACTTTGTTTATGTACAAAAAAAGATAAACTTGATGTCCACGAAAATCGCTAGAATGAAACAAGAATGGGAAAATGTAGGAAGCAGCTCTAATCACTATTTTACACAATGAAGGAAAGGCATGGGAGAAGAACTAAAGCACCAACGTTGTGTTGCATCCCAGTGTCGTTTCACTAACAGCTAACCCGCTTGCAGAAGGGCAGCTGGTAGCGTCTTTAATATTGGTTTTAGCGGAGTATGCGGCGTCTGACTTAATATTTCGGCCATGATCATATTTCTTGCCACCGAAGCGACATCAGTTATTTAATTTAGTTTGCTTTTTGACCGAAGTTGTCCCAGCAGGCCACGTAAAAACAGACAAAGTGCAATCAGTTTTCGGGTCCCCGTTCCGATGCGGTGGATGGTGGCAGACTGTCCACCGTGCAAGCCCCGTGCACCCACCTTGGTGACCTTCTCTCTGTGTCCTTCCTCGAGATTCCTCTGGGCCTCCTTGAAAGAGTCGTGCTCGTGCTTGCTGTCGAAATGACTGAAGTAGTGGTCCACTGGCCGCTCTGTCGTGGTGCCTGGCGTGGTGCTCGTGGTGGTGCTTGGAGTCGTGCTGGTCGTCTCCTCCTCCTCCTCCACGCTGCTGTAGTCGTCGTAGTCCTCGTCCTCCTCGCTCGACGTCCCTTTTCCCTCCTCCTTGCTGCTCTTGCCTGCATGCCAGGGAAGGCCAAGAGCAGAGCACGTGACACACTGATGCACGTCCCAACTGCTTGTCTCCATTTATTTGTTGTCCCCTTCGTTCTTACGGGAAATCAGGCCCGCAGGTTGCAAAAACACAAATGTTTTTGCAGTTGCCTACTAAGAAAAAGCAGGGTACATGTGAGCAAGCACTCCCAGGAGTTTAGTTCCAGAAGAGGCGAAATTGGTATCAGATGGAGGGGCCAGAATAGACGTACAGTTGCTGACCGATTTTTTGGACTTTCCAGGTATCGAAAACGTCCAAATAATAGAGCAGTTAAAAAAATAAGCAGATTAAAAAAGTTGCCTTTATTACGTCTAAGCGGGCTTAAAAAGCCGTCAATAGTGCCTTGCTTCAAGTTACGCCTCCGTTTACATTCGACCACCTTCTATTAGCTGGAGAATCGCTGCCTTCCTTTTCTAGCCTTATGGTTCAGTACTTTCCGCGATTCTTAGCGACACTTTGCAGCAGTAGAAGAACAGATGGGAACATGATGTCCAAGCCAGCGTAGTCTGAAAACACGATTCACCAAGACAAGATAAGAGGCACAAATCCATGACTGCAGAATGGCAAATGAACAAAGCAAAATGGTAACAATGACGATAATAATGATGCGCAGCTGGAGAAAAACGCCGTAGCATAGAGTCACCTAGGGGTAGAACTTAGCAGGAAACAAGTAGCGCTGCCGAGCCGAGCCAATCATGTGCAGCCCACATAGAATCTAAAATGGCGGCTTCTCGGTGGTGCTTCCCGCCGATTGCTCGCGACGATTTTGTCAGAAAACTTTACCCTTCAAACTTGAAATTATCCGAAATATTAGGCATGAATATGCACTATTTCTATCGGGTAGGTCACAGTTCCTTCTTCAGGTCCGAAATATCGAACAGGTAAAAAAAAATCGGTCGTCAACTAGAAACGAAGATTGGAAACACTCAGGTGGGGACTCGGAAAGGGATCCAGATAGGGATTTAGAAAGGCTCAGAAAGGAACTACAATACTTAGATGGGAAAACAGATAGGGACCCAGGCACAGATCAGTGAAAGATCAGATAGGGACTCAGATAGGAAGTCGTGAAAAGTCAGCCAGGAAGACCAGGATGGGGAGATTCAGGTGGAGGCACTCAGATGGAAACTCAGATGGTGACTGATGGTAACTCTAATGGGAACTTGAATGGCAACTCAGATGAAGGCTTGAATTGGGAACCAGATGGGGAACTAACTGGGTGGGGCCTGAGATGAGAACTCAAATGGGGACACTCGGGAACACTTAATGGAGACCCAGATGGGGACTTGGACAAAGGTGTAAATGGGTTCAGATAAGGACTGAGATAGGAACCCAACATGCAAAAAAAGAAAGAATAAAAACATTTAAAAGGAATGAACACAAACACAGTTGACTCTCATTAATTTAAACTCCAGGAAATCACAGACTGTAGTTTAAAATATCTGGTTTGAATTATTAGAAATTTATCTTAATGTGATGTGAGGCAAAGTAGCGGTTTGCTATAGAAATAGCTACACATACCAAGCAGGTAGCTTTCTTTCCTCTATACAGGCCTATTTATAAGCAGGCGCACATATAAAACACTGGTGAAGTTCCAAGCGAATAGTGGTTTAGGCCGAATATTTTCTAATCACATATTGAATAGTTCCTCCAAGCCTTTACTACCGTTGTACCATGTTTAAACGAAAATTCAGCTGAACTCATGAAGTTTGTTCCAACATTCTACTTGTTTACTTCTAAACTCAGTTACCATAGTTTTAATATAACTATATCTATGAACTGGCCTCAAAAAATCTGAGGCATTGGACTTTTTGAGGCATTGGCCTCAGAAAGACCAATGCCTACATTGGCGTGGCATGTGAATGACAGATTTGACATAAAATCAAAGAAATGCCCAGCTATCCTAATCGAGGAAATTTATACATCTGCTTGCTACATGCAAACATTCTTTCTTTAATCTTGAATTTAACCCCATCAGAAAAATAAAAAAAAGGAGCACAAATAATGAAAGCAGATTGTCAGGACAGTTCTGCTTGCATAACTGCAGTGGGTTAGTCCCATCGAGTGCGCTTCTCACCGAGCACTCGCGTACTGCGGAGAAGCGATGATCACGAGCTTCGTGGGTATTGCTTTCCTGCAGTATACACGTGCTCAGTGAGAAGTGCACTCAATGGGGCTAACCCGCTGCAATGAACAAATAGTATGAATTCAGCGAAAACGCTGTTTGAATTAAGCAGCTCATAAATACATTGAAAACTTAGTGGGACAACCAGAATTGCTTAATTTGTTTGAATTAACCTGAAGTACAAAATATAAGAGTTTGCATTATTGCAAGTCCACTGTACACCATTCTTTCATTTATTTGCATATTATCTACAATGCACTCCCCATATCTACTGGGAACCAAATTGGGACCCAGACAGGAACTCTATGTCCCAATCCCAATCGACTCGCATCTAGTTTGTCCAGGTTTGTTCCCGTCATTTCGCTTCTAAAAGAAAGTAGCTCTTAAGTTCTGCAGTGCACCTGGCCTGCCAAAGCAAATGTTTTTAGGTTAATTTTCAATTTTGAGTAATGACACTCACCCGCTTTGCTCGCGGATGCCACACAAAAAAACAAAACAAAAAAAACAATAAAGCTAGGAGGATTCCATATTTATTTTGTTGATTTTTCTATTCCTCTCAGTCGCTTTTCAATCAATGCACATCGATAGATGCTGGAAGACACTTGTATTGGACCGTGCCTCTTGCATGATGAAATGATAGAATGCCGCTTTCATGGCCACAAAACGGAGGTTTGGGCGAGTTGGTTGTTCATGACTGACATGTCATGTCAGTCATGCACACAAAATGCACACATTTTGTGTGCATGAAAGCTTAGAGTGCTTGTTTTGAGGGTGCACTGTTTCCATGTCAGTCATGGCCGCAAGCATTGCGTCTTGCGAGCGTTGGAGAAGTTTTTAGACGGGGGCAGAAAAGCAGCGGGGGAAGGCAAAAACAGATGCCGACGAGCAGCTTTCATGTCCGCGTCTGGGAATTGCAGACGACGATAGACGGTGGTGAAATAGCAGATGATGCCAGAGGCTGCTGCGCGTCTCCTCGCGAGTCTCCTCACACGACAGGCAGGCGGTGTCAGAAGCCAAGCTAGACGCACCGGATGTTGCAAAAGGGAGACACTAGGCTTGCAAGCACGTTCAGTCAAGCGGCCAAGCCAATTCAGTAGTAACTGGTGGGACAACTGATCTGTGGACAGGGCTTAGAATGGGCAGTGACCTCCACCTAAATTGCGTCTAACGTAAATAATGCACAATTTTTTTTTTTTCGTAAGAAAATAATTTTAAAGGATTGAGACTCCATTTATGCACTTAAAATAAAAAAAAGTTTTTTTTTTTAAAGCCATTGGAAAAAGCACGAGTGTCTCCAATGCTGGACTTACCTTCCGTGGGGCAGCAGACAAACTCCACCCCGGAGAAGATATCCACTCCGCAGGGGAGGAGCATGGCGAAGCTGCGCAGGCGCATGGAGCGTCCCTGGCAGCTGTGGGCCGCCGTCTGGTTCCAGTCGTCAAAGCTCTGGCACACGCTCTGGTTGTGGATGTGGTCGAAGAGGCAGTGCTCGGGCACCAGCAGGGCGTCGCTCTGGAAGTCCCCTTCCAGGCACCTGTACGGCTTCACCCAGTGGCTGCCACGGCAGCTGCGGCCTCGCTGCCCCACCTTGCACCAACCGTCCACGTGGTAGTAGCGACTAGACTCCACAATGTTGCGGATGTCCCGTTTTGGGTACACCTGCAATTCAACCAACGTGCACAACGGTCCTGTTTAGAAAAGAATCTAAATTCCAATGACATGTAGTCACATATACAGGTGGAGGACATGTTGTGTCTTCTATCTGCCCTTCCTAGAGCAGGGGCCAACTGTGCTTCGAGTGGCGCCCAGTGGTACAGGCTTGACCTGAACTTTCACAGTTTCAAGACTGCACTAAAAGTACAATAGCAAAAAGACACCATGCCACTCTAAAGCTCTCTGTACTGACAGTTTCAAGGTTATACATAAACTGGGATTCAACTGCTGTACAATACTGAACATCCATCCATTCCACAATAAGTGCCCACCCTTCAATTTTGTAACACCCTCAATTTTGTAACAAATGTAAAATACACAAAGAACATATCTTTACATATTGTTGACCCAGTTTGACATGATTATCTCCAATTTTGAGTGGGCGCTTGCTCAGGATTTTACGATAGGTAGTGTAGTTCATTTGTAATGATACAGTAATTGTAACAACAATCTTCCATAGTGAGGATACAAAAACGAAAGGACATAGCTCAAATATTTTAGAGTTCCATCGACTTTGCTAAAATCAAGCTCAACCTCTTCACCAGTGTTACGATTGGCATTCTGGAAAGAGGTTACTGGATTAGGAGCAAGCGCATCGGTTGCTCCACCTCAGTCAGCAATCAAGCGTAGCAACGCACCACTGGATAATGTACCGTCAAGAAGGCGACTCGGGGCATAAAAGACAACGCTAGAAGTAAGGTTGGCTAAAAACATTTACCACATTTGTACCAATAAAGTGGACAGAGGCCACTGATAGGCATTAGTCATGCATCCTTTTCTGCTACACTCTAAAATGGCAAGGTCTTACCAGTTTGTATGTTGCCTTTGAGCACAAAAAGTAACAAGACAAAGGGTTAAGCAAAATGCTATGGTAGCAATTCCTACTTAAGAGAGGCCCTTCCATACTTTTTCACAAAAGAAAACTAGACCAAAGTAGCTTTCTGTTTTGCCAATTTGGCCACAAAACTAACCCCCCCCCCCCCCCCCCCCCCCCCCATATTATGAACTGCTCATCCCAATAGCCTAAAGACAATTCCGAGACATTTTAAAAGAATGTGCTGTTCTTTGCTTCTAATGGACCTCAATTTAAAGTCAAATTTTTTCAGATTTTCTACAGAAATGTTTTTACACAAAATGTGCCGCACAAGAAGCCAGTGGCAATATTTAGTGTAAGGATTGGAAGTTCCACGCGAACATTCCACAAAAGGAAGCCTACCTTGCGGCAGTACTCGAGGATGCTGAGCTTGTCCTTGCTGCAGACTGCCTTGGGGTCTGGATCCGAGACCCAGCGCTGGCCCTCGGCCAGGTACTGGTTGTTGATGCGGCCGTGGCCGCACAGGAGGGCCACCATGGGCTGGAAGTGGCCCAGGTCAGGGTCCACGCTGCCGGCCACAGACTGCTGGGGGGTGACACACCCACACTTAGCAACCTGTGCCACCCACTCCTCTGCGCCAGCTACAGGCATAGCATCAGGCATTCATAGAGCACTAAAACTCACCGTCACATTCTTGAAATTAGAATATGTGTTTCCTTTGGAAAGTTGTGTGATTAGTGAGGGGGAGAAAAGGAAACCAGGGAGGGGTTATATTTGTGCCAAGCTGAAAAACAAATCCATACTTTGCAGAGCTGGCCAAATCACAATCCATTTGTAAATAATTTGCATTCCAAATAAAGTGACCAAATGTCCTGTTTTGGCCGGGGCAGTCCCGTTTTAGAGGTGCATTTCTGCCGTCTCATCATTTTGTTTCAATGAAGCCTCATGTCCTATTTTCATGGCAATGTGAGTGCATACGGTAGTTGCGATATTAGTGCTAAGTGAGTAGAAGAAATCTAAAAAAATACATACTTTTTATGAAAATAAACATATTATAAAGGTGTTACCTCCTATAGAGTACAATTAGATATCGTTCTGTGGTTTCATCGGTTAATGCGTTCTGTTCGCACAGAGATTTTGTGCTAAGTGAGAAGAAGAAATAAAAAAAAATACATACTTTTTATAAAAATAAACATATAAAACTGTTACCTCCTATAGAGCATATTTAGATCTTGTTCTGTTGTTTCATCTGTCTATGTGTTCTGTTCATACAGAGGTTTCTTTGGGGCACCTTTCCATGTTACTATATTTGGCATGCTTCGGTTTTGTTTCAAATGAAAAAGAAAGGTGCCCATGTACTCAACAAGACGAACTTTGAAAAACTGTGCATTAGTACAGTGAACCAAATAGCAGCAGAGCTTGCTTTTTCTTTGACCCCACTCCGCCACCCCAGTGATGTCCAGTTTTCTACGCTGTAGATTATAGTCACCCTGGTTCCAAAGTGCTTTTCCAAAAAGCCTGAGAAGAAACTGAACTAGTATATTACGAATTATTGCAAAAGAAAGTTACAACTGCTTTGCAATTACTTTACATAGTGTGCACATAACCTCTCTAAAGAATTTTATTTCCACACATTGCAGTAACTAAGGTGCTTCGGAAACAATGGGATTGCTAGGCTGGTGGTGGAGAGGCTTCACTGCAAAAAAGGTATGGTCTGGTAGAGTCACATATCCTCTCTCTTGGGGCAGAAGGTGGAAGGTATCCTTCAACTCCAGCACTCGCTCAACCACCAATGCTTTGCAGTGCCACTCTTTGTGTAATGAGGCAGCATGTTGATCTGCTTATATCATGTCACATTAACATACTTGCCAGGAATTCACTTATGACTTTATTAGCTTTTTTTTCTAGCGGAGAAATGAAAGATTAAAATTCTGAGCCGTTTGACCAAGCTTGTATGCACTAACAGCACAAAAAAAGGCACTTGGTACAGCCTTCTAAATCCCACAGAAAACACCTGGGTTAAACTGAACAGAGATAAGCTGGAGATTAGCTCCCCTTCACATGTAGAGAAATTGCTATTAACCGTTTAATGTAATGAATTTTCCTCCTCACTAAGAATATGCTTGTTAAAGCCATGCATGAAAGCTTTTTTTTTTTTTTGATAACTTGCACTAAAACTGAGTTGGGAGTAGTAGGAAATAACACTTGGGAGTAAGACTATCAGCTGTATTCACAAGTCGTGACTAACTAGTGCTGTTTTAAAGTTAGTATCGCGTCTAAGTAGTCGCAAACTAAGAGAAAAAATCAGCGACTAAGGATCGACTATAGTTCTGCGGTATTCACGAGCAGAAGCGACATAAAAAGATAGATCACGCACACACGTACTTATACGCCGCTGCGTAAATGGGTATTTTATCGTAAGAAAACTAATATTTAAATGTTTATCGGAAAAGAAAAAGTTACATTGAGAGGCTAATTGTTCGAGACAGAGATTTACAAAGAGAAAATTTAAAAAAAAGGCAAGGGAGAAACACGAAAGCCACATCGCCAGCGACATAACTATGGAAGCGCACGTAAATGTGTTTTTTCTCGTCGTCCAGCGCCCTGCTGAGATCTCTTTAGCAGTATCTCTGACCATTGAACATGGCTATTTACACAATATTTGCTCCTCCAATCTTTTCTAGATGTGTCCCCCAGCGTTCCGAGACAGTAATTGCTTCATTAGCGCTGGCTGCCAGCGGTGATACGAGTCGGCAATGGCGCTGAGCCGCTAGTTACCCGCTAAACACCTGCTAAACTAGCCCTACCCCATAACTAAGGTTTGTTAGTCGACTTCTTAGTCGTGCGGGGTGACTAGGCCCTAACCACGACCGGTGAATACCAAGCACTCACTTAGTGGTGACTGTCACTCGCCACGTGATTATTTTAGTCGATGTCGCTAGTCAGTGGTTAAACATGCGCTACTCGCGCCTGGTGAATACGGGTGCATGACTCTACTCAAAGTGCAGACTTCACACAAGATGCTCTGAAAATATTTTAGACTACAGACAATACATTTTATGGATAGAATTAATAAAAAAATGACAATGCCATGGGGATTAGATTTTTCAACCTGATCATAAAGGTGACTGCCTCCTTACACATGCTCAATGTCCAAAACACCTATGGGACAACGTAACCGAAGAAAGCAGATCATTTACTCTTGGGTAATTACTTCTGTTATACTCTTTCAGTGGCTAGAAGCATCAGATCTTGGAGAGTGTGGGTGATGATGTCATGCTGACTGCTTCTCTTCCTTGTTGGAAGCTGTCCAAGCTACCAAGGCTGCTATTGACAAGGAATCTCGTACACCCAAACGCTAAGGAGTATCTTACAAAATCAATTACAATTTTTACTTCATTATAATATTGGCAGATAATGTTAGCAACCTCAAAGCTTTCTCTCATGAGCTGTGGTAAGACTTCACTAACTGCTTTAACATGCAAAAACTTCAAAACTTTCTTCCTGCAACCAAGTTCCCTTTCTTAAATTTTTGGGTGTCTGGTTTGAAGAGACCCTAGCTGGACACATCATATTAATCATGCCCATCCTAAGATATCTCAATCTATTGACACCTTATACAAACTTAAAAATATTTTTTTTTTCTGTTGGCTCAAGTGTCAACTCTATTAATTAATCTAATTCCATCTTTATTTTTGCACTGCAAGAGCTAATTTAAACAGTTTGTTAGGATATTTTGCAAAATGCCAAATTTTGGAAATTGAAACAGTTTTCAACTTAAAACTTGCGCCGAGAATGCATAATTACTACAACAATGATAAGAACGCATTTTCAGAAATCTACTACACGAAAATGAGTCAATATAATCTCCAAAATAAATTCTATATGAAACCCAAAATACAAAAAAAAAAAAATTATGGATCCAAGTGCTAGCCTAAAAGAAAAAAAAAATCCTTGAGTTTTTAAATTAGCACCCTGATTTTTTTGGATTAACAAGAACTACTAACGTAATATTCCAAGCAAGCGCCCAGTCAAAATTTGGAGATAATCATGTAAAACTGGGGGATGGGTGCTCCTTAGGTCAACAATATGTAAAGATATGTCCTTTGTGCATTTTTTTTAAATGTTACAAAATTGAGGGGTGGGTGCAGAATGGGCAGATGCTTGGTATTTTATGGTAGTTGGCTTTTAAGTTTCAAAGGCGCAATGAAAAAATTTCTTATATTGTTCTCTGAATAATATTGTATGACTGCTGGCTGAAATGGATATTGGTTGTATTGTGCAACCTTTGTGCTAACTAGTTCTTTATGAATCATGACTACATGTATTCAGTCTTTAGATCGATATTCCCATGGATTGTAAGGTTCTTAAATTTGTATTATATGTTCTATATGCTTCCTATGAATCCATACTTTATGTAAAATATAATTGCTAGTTATTGTAAAATACCGAGGGGGGGGGGGGGGGGGGAACACTTTTAATAAGAACTGGGTTAATCTAGTCATGGGTGCTTGTCCGGTCAAATCGGGTGCTTAACGTATAATTTGCAGAATTTCCAAGTTTGGGAAATGTTAATAGTGGGCGCTTAAACAAAGTGGGCACTTCTGCAGTATTTTACGGTATGTGCTTTCATGATATTTATATTCTTATGTTTTTAATTTTTCTTGTATAAATGTCTTGAAATTACTTGCTAACTGCCTTTAGTTGAGTGATACGATTGTTTAAGTAAACAAACAAAACACACAAACAAAACTGTTTTACCCAGATTATGGAATGGGGTCAATGCAATCACACCATGCGTTTGCTTTGCTTTTACTTTTTTCTTTGCTGAGCAATGTAAAAGCAAGCCGCCTCTCTCGGAAAGGCAGTTTGTGATTGGCTGACGTGTGCCCGTCGTCACGCCGTTGGCAACTCCGCTGGATTTTGCGCTCCAGATCTTTCCACTCAAAAAGGGGCGTGGCACGAACTTCTATCATATTTTTAGTAGGAAAATAGACGCCGCAAAAGTATAATTTTTGGATTTCTAGGATGCTTGGAGCCCGTAGAAGGAGTTATCACCAAGAACAGACAATCTCAGAGACGTGTTTAGTGCACCTTTAAGAACCAAGATACATTTGTGATATTGTTTATTGTTTTTATTAATCGAAATATCCTGGAAGTTCAATGGAAATATTATTATGATCAAAACAGAATGCATGGCTTTGATATACATCCTTCTGAAAAAGAATGAAATAAAATGTTTATTGAGGTTTCAAAACAACGTTTGTGCAAGTTTCAATAGTGAACTTTTTTCGATTTTTTATAACATGACTGATCTGCTGAAAGTTAAAGCAAACCACCTTTCCCCTCCCCTCCTTCAGAGGGTTTCATAAACCCACAAATGAATGACTGTGCAGTAAAGTTCAGATTTCCAAGATTAGAGTCTGCTGCTCTGGCTCAAATGACAAACTGCCTCATAAAACACAAACACTGATGCTACCACAACCTCCAGTAGCTTACTTATAAATATATTATCTGGTAATTGCGGACTGTGTCAATGCAATCACACCATTTTTTTATGATGTAATTAACCAGCATTAGAA